ATTTTCCTGATACAACGATGAAAGGGGTTCTAGTGCTCAGCAGCAGCCGGTGTTGCCACGTAGCCTGCCAGCGGCCGCAGATATTCTTTGCAATCGTAAAAATTATACTATTTCGATATGATCTGGTGCAGTTATTTATGGAAAAGTTTTGAAACAAACTCCAATTGGAGGAGGCATTTACAATAAACAGAAAAATACTCACCTTTGCATTGCATACATTCTTTGCTGCTGCGATATTCTCAATCTATTCCGTTTTCAATGTAAACACTGTTAAGAACCACAATCAAACCCGACACTTCTGACGACTTAACTATAATGCTCCTACATATACGGCGAGTGGTTTACGTGTATCCGATCGGTAGTTCCGACATTTTTAATACCTAGAAAAGCTATAAGTATGAAAATGTAGACAACCATATGCTCCTTACTACATTTTTTGAATGAATTTGCTTAGAATGAGCGTATAACTGCAAAATATCCTTGCAAAATAGTTTAGTTTTACTGATGAACAATGTAAATTAAATTTCTAATTGAAATACTCATGTGCTCACGTTTTTCCCGCGACAAAGACACCGAAATTCTTGTGATTGTGTGAAGATTGTAGTTGTCTGGCCTTCTTAGCACTGGTTATATTTTTTTTATTGTAAATACTTCCACCACGACAAATTTTTACATAGATAATTACTAATTCGTCGCTTCTTTTTGGACAAACATACTCATTTTATTATTCATTTACACACGCTACACTAGATCATATCGAAATATAACCATTTTACATGATTACAAAATATATGAGGCCGCCCGCATGGTACTCGTACGTGGCAACACCGGCTGCTGCTGAACACTTGTTTCATTGTTGTGCTAGGGGAATTGCCATGCGCTTTTCTCCGCCGTTTTTGACACTAACAGGAGAGTTTTATAGCTGATTGTTATCTAAGCTATGATAGTATGTTACATAGAAATCCACTGACACTGACACAGTCCTCATAAAAAAAAAACTGATGGCATGGACCACAGTAAATACTTATCGTGGACATTTGCCTAAGGTTTCGAGCTATCAGAATATCCCAGTGATGGAAATAGGAGTTCTATCGTTTTCAGCAACGGCCTAAGAGGTGGTAACGCTGACACCTTAACGGAATTCCGACAATCTCGAGGATCATCTTCCGAGGTAACGGGGGTGAATTGGAAACGGTAGTATTCTGGGCTTGTACGGACGTCAGCTCCACTTTAGAAAAGAAAATGACGACTGCTGGGGTAAATTTGCCTAATCACAGGGTCGGATTTCGATTCGAGCAATCCACGATAATTCTTGAGCAATAACAAGAGTTTGAAAAGCGCACTTTTAACACCCCAAGCAATTATCTTCTGAATACACTGTATAAATTCCATTTCACACTAATGAAAAATGGAGTCAGTTGTGATGCAGCTGAAACTCACTACGTCGCAGCCACCGCACCGAGTCAATCGACCTGAAGACATTCACTTTTCGTTATTACGCCAGTGAAAGTCATAGTCTCATCTACGGCAATATGGACAAGGTTCGCCGGGGTACAGTCACAGGTCATAAAATTCAGAAAAAGATGTAGGTATAAAATCCGCCAAATTGCGATTCTTAAAAACATATTTCCTACTCCTACAGACGATTTTAAAGGTTCTATCTCAAAGGCCCAAATAATCCCCATTATAAAGCAGATCGGTTGACTATGGGCGTCAAAGTGCATAACACAGGTACCGGTTTTTTCTATCGCCATCGATTGCGTGCCGAAGGATGTTTCAAGTCATGCGCACATTATTCGTCGGATTTTCTTCGTCCTTCTCCGATACCGAAGATACAACATTTACTACACCCCTTCCCCAACATGCAGTTTTAAACCCATACAATTTTTTTTCTGGAAATAACTAGGTGCCTTGGAAACGTCAAAAACGAAGTTCATTATTTTTGCCGTTTATTGCCTACAGCCTCTAGACAGATTTTAAAAAATCACAAGGCTGTGGTATACAACAAAGCTTAAGTGGAACTTCCATCAAAATGCGAGCGGTAATTTCCAATCCATAGACGGGCCAAGGATTAGCAGACAGTCAGACAGACAGACCGACGGAAATAAGTGATATGGTTTTTCGTGATGTAAACGTCATATAAGACTTAAAACACATATCTCACTTTCGAAGTTTCTCGCGATTACAATTCTTCCTTCGCCACTGGCGTGGTAAATAAAAAGGCTTTTGAAACCGATGCTTCATTTTAATATTAGCGAATGAAATTTTAACAGTGTGCCGAAAACAAAACTCCACGGGACGCTATCGATCACTTTTTTCACTTGGCTGTCTTAAAAAGAGTCGAAACTTGAACGAAAATAGTAAGTTTTTGAACCCACCATAAATTTTGCACAAAAATAAAATTTCCAAAAGTGCTCTGATAATTTCATAAAAAAATATTGAAAAAGGTAGTGTGGTTTCTAAGCAGCTGAACCCTTGGGAATGGATTGAAACTCACTACGTCGGAGCCGCCATAAGCCGGTGGTAAGCAGATATATGTATAGTTTCTTGAGTGGTTGGAGATGCCACGGTACGCACGCCTATTTTCCCACGGGCACAGCCACAGGTTTTACGAATCCCATAAAATTTAAAACAAACAGACCAACTAGGGTTAGGAGAAGGACTTGTCGGAATCTATGATATTCAAAAGGATCCCATCCGAGAAATGTATAAAGATAACAGTATCGACAGCAAGATTTGATACTTAATCGGCATCGCCATATTCCTTTAAACTTTAAACTGTCCGTCAAAGAATTAATCATTTTCAAGAAATCTCTTCCGTAGCTAGCCTTAGTAAACATACTGGCGTGAAGTGAAGTAGCTGCTCACTTTTGCAGTTTTTCTGAAAATTACCTGGATTGATGTTCTAGTAATATCTTTTGGTTATTAGCTAACTGTAAAGAATTTTCCTGTTCCTAGTGATATGCGAGACTAGTGTAGTGTGTCACGAAATCACGGAGGTCACTAGTTATTTAGTACGATGAAAGTGAGAAAAAATAATTGCTATCGATGTCACACGCACATCTGAGCAACAGCAAATAATCCGGTATAAGCCCTATTGGAACTGCTCATACAAACACACGCGATGATAACAACAAAATTTATAAGGTACCTTTGATTTTGTCCTTTATTTCAGAAGTATTTTTTATTTACTTCCAGTTTGAAGGATATCTAGGGAAGCCAAGCTAAACAACGTGGCGAACTATACTGAGTGGAATAGCAGAGATAGTGAGATAGAGAAAAATGGTTTGGTTTTACAATAGGGACACGATACAATACGATGCGATATATGGCGCAGAATAATAAGCTTTCCATATGGATGCAGTTGGAAACTTTAAATTATTATAATTGCGGTCAAATACAGCTTTATGAGTTATCCTTACAGAATTCGTTAGCTCATGCTGAGGCACATAGATGGACTACCCACGTCTCACTAGTATTATTTCCGTTTTATAATATGGGGGCAAAAATAACATGTCTAGAAACACCAATTACTTAGCTAAAATAATGTTGCCTGATTTCATATAGATGAAGACATCCGATTTAAATAAAAATGCTCATTCTCTTATTATTTAACGTCGATTGGTGTAAAGGCTGATCATTTCTTATCCCATAAAGAGCTTATTTCGACAGGAAACACAAGTGTGGACCTGTGTCGTTAAGGATGCGAAACGAGGTACTTGTTAAGCTCTGTAACTGAAAGTTGTTACCACCAAATCAGAAAATTCTGACCTGCTGATTTAAGAATGTAAAGCAAAATACTTTTTTGGCGGTACCCGCTACATAACGGCATTTATCCTGTGAATCTATATTGTAGTTTTTTTTAAGAATACCGTATTGTGACGCTAACACTATCGAGCTTATCATTATAATAAGACTGGTCTAGAAAGAGCTTTAAGAGACGCTGTTTATAAAATTTTGTCATATTATCAACATGTTTCTGTTCCATATGTTTTCAGAGGCTGTGTGGATATAATATGGGATACCATATTACACACGATGTGCCAATACTGCGTGGACAGATTATTGTGTGTGGATTAACACGTGGTTTGGAATTTTTTACTAGATTATGGTAAACCACCCTGAAGACTAGAAATAATACATGTATCTATAAGATAATTATGTTCCTTTGGATTACGACATTTCTACAGAGTGAGTCATATCAAAGTGGTATTTTTTATGACGGACCTCCTATGTATTATTGCATGTTTGGATTGCTTGCTCAGCTTCAGAATAACATTCTGTATAATATCTGGTACCTTAAATGCGGAGGTTAGAGAACAATTGCGTGTCATGCTCGTTACAAAGCTTAGTAGGCCGCGACTTTGTTACTGACCATGACAGGTAATAGCTCAAGTCAGATGGCCAAGGTCAAATTGTTTTTACATCTGGGCAATCTCTTATGATAATTTGGGAAACTTCAATAAATAGAAATACTTTCGTTTTTTATACCACCGAAAGTCAAACTGGATCACCTTCTAACATATATCTTGGTTTATTTTGATTTCAGATTTACTGGTTAATTTGGTGGATTTTTTAGTCTTCAGTACTAGTAGGCTGTGGAAATTAACTGAATGGTCAAAGTATAAAACATTATTCACACTGATTCGTAACGACAGATCTAAAAAGCCCTGAGAACTGAGCCTCGAAGGAGAAGATCGTCTTGGAGAACTAGTCCAATGAAGGATGGCTTCTGTTCCTTGTTTAGGGCTGTTGCGGGGGGAGGTGGTTGGTGGTGGTGGGGAATTTCATTCAGTGTTACCGTTTTGGAAGCGACTGCTTTATCGTCCTTAATATGCTAATTAAAAGCCGTGGTCCTTTCAAGCTAGATTATTATACAATAAATTGACAGTGGTAGACGGTGACATAAAATAAGTCACAGCATTGTCAGGCATCCAATGAGCAACCCTTACTGGCGATGTAAGCAATACAAAAACTACAAAGTTCAAAAAGACACTCACCCATCGCCATAATCGTCGTCAGGTGGCTCAACTTCACCCTCATACAGATGCGAAGGTCGATGTCCTCCTTTTCTATCATAGTGGTACTCTGGTGACTCAGCCTCCACCTCTAAATGCCCATGGTGATGGTGGTGATGCGGATGGTGGTGATGTGGAGCAATCGCGTGGATGTGCGCAATCTGGTGCTTGTGGATATGATGCTTGGCGCCGTACGGGGTGTAGGCGCATAGCTTGAAGAGGTGGTGAAGAGCAGGGAACAGGAACAGCAGCACCTGAACAAATCCCATAATAAACCGGGTATTCCAAAATATGTGCAAGCAAATATTACGGTAGGATAAGTAGGAAGTGTGACGAATGTATCGCGTCGGTCAGAACACACGTACGAGACGCAGGACACTAAACCAAATTGCCGTACGCCTTTGCTGCGTTTAAATCCTATCGATTAATTTATAAATACAGTTAGACACACTTTTTCTAAATTGATGGTATATGTTGTGGAGATTGCTTGTTGCACAATTCCTATTAGGAGCCGACATCAATTTTCCTGTTTTATAAATGCTTAGAGACAATTCTCACGTAGCAGTGACGTGACCACGGCATTGGCATACCGGGCGAAAGTTGAGACTTAGGTCGGTGACGTGAGATACTTGCATCACAGCAAAATCAAATTTGGTACGGATTGGATGGTAAGATATGCCATGTTATCTTGCAGTAGGGAAAATAACTGAGACGTGAACCTCTGGCCGAGATGGTGTATAGTAATCTTTAGGAGATAGCAATTAACGAGGCAGCCCAGTAGGTATATTGTCTCAGAGTGGATGACGAAGAGTAAGAAAAAAACGACGAACACAAGTAAAAGTTTTTTTTAGATCCACCAAAATCAAGTTTTTTATCTCTTTCAGATGATAAAGGGAATTATTTAAAGCACTAATTCGCTACATTGCTTACAATCGCCTTCTATTTTATGCAGTACAAACTGGTCGTGTGTTACCCGAGCAACCGGCACCCAAAACATCAACACCTTTTAGATAGAAACTTCTGTATGTCATAATTACTACTAATGTAGAAGTAATGTGAATAATTGGTATTCTTAAAGCTGCTACACACAGTGCCGGCGGCAATGCCGCCGGGTTTATGCCGAGCGGCTATGCCGCCGGCAATACAAGCCGCCGGCACAAGCCGTCAAGCATCATTCCGGTTGTGACAGTCACATAGAAAGCTAGTGAAGTGCTGCATTTCTGGGATTCCATAATATATCATTTTCATGAAATTTTTCAATTAAGAGCCGCACAGCTTCGTCGTCCCAATTAAACGACATTTTAATTTGTTTAAACACACAAACCGCACAACACTACCGCTCGAATGCCAGGAACGAAGTGACGCCGGCAAGCCGCGTAACCCGCCGGCACACCACGGCGGCTCCTTTGCGCGGCAAGGCCGGCGGCTTTGTATGCCGCCGGGTGTACGGCGGCTTAGCCGGCGGCTTGCCCGGCGGCCCTGCCGCCGGCACTGTGTGTAGCAGCCTTTATCTGTTGTCTGCATATATCATTCTTAGAGCTTTGTTTAGTACCAAGGGAAAGTCGAAATCATACCTAAGTCTGAAGATACATGGTCTGTAAATTACGTGATAAGACTGGCAATGTAGCATCCGATCTGGCAACGCTGGATTCGTCGAGATTGGAGGGGGACATGGGAAAAAGTTTGAACTCAAAACAGTATTTCTTATTAAAAATGAGTGAAATCAATTTCAAGCAACGGTGCGCTATAAGGATTGACTTCAGACTTGAGCACAGTGCAAGGGAAACTCTTGCTAAACAAGCCTACGGACACAGTGCTTTTGTCAAAATCCCAGGTTTTTAGGCGGTTTGAGGCTATTTCAGAGAGAGTCGATTGAAGATGAACCACGCAGCGGAAGGATTCCATCTTCAAGAACCAATGAAAATATCGACAGAATTTGGGAGCTTGTGCGTTCGGATCAGCGGCTGACAGAAAAATCACACAGCAATGCCAATAAACGACCTGAAGGCTATTTCAGAATCGGAGATCCAGCACTGCTATGAGGAGTGGAATAACCGTTAACCGTCTCCAGCCCTGCGTGGCTTCAGAAGGAAGTCGTTTTGAGGGTGACAACATAAAATTAAATAAAAGAATTAAAAAAGCCAATCACATCACTAGAAATTTTTGAAGCACAGAAGATACGACTCTATCTTCTGTGCTTCAAAAATTTCTAGATTGCACCTGTTCCGTGTGAACTTTTGGGCTGATAAGATCATATAAACTAAAAGCATGGACAGTTTGATGCAAATAGATATTTGTGACATAGCCTCAAAATAGAGCGCTGACACGGAAAAGTAGAAAGCTATGAAAATCGAAGAGGCCATAAAGGCGTTATACAATAATTAATTAATTTACAGACCTCGTACTGTGAAGCAAGGTATCCCAGAATGCGTGACAGACATTATGAGTTTTCTTAAAAAGGTGCTCCATTGATGGATATAAAAAGTGGCTGTAGTACGATCAGAACGTATGTACGGCACACAACAGACAAAGCGGAAAACAATATGATATAGAAGCGCTCTCAGAAACAAGCAAATACTTACTACAGATGTCGTAAATATTGAGGATTATAATTTTATTAGACAGGATAGAAGCCAGCATGGTGATGGTATTGCTATGTATCAAAAAAATATTACGTTTTCAGTCATAGCAAGCAACGTTGGATAAGTAATAAACAATACGGAGTAAAATGGGCAGTATAAGGAGAGAGAAAAAGTATTTCACATAAGTAAGTCGTAACAAACTGGTTAAAATATAAACGATAGACGAGAGCTGCGTAGCGCATGTTGTGACCATGAAAACTCCTTCAAATTTGTATAGCAAAATTGCCTTTCGCTAAGATGTACACAAAGCAAATATAAGGTCCAAAACTACAATCACACCACCAGCTCATAGTGCTGCTCTCTTTTTCCTTTTACTTTTCTTATATCGCCAGAACATATGTAGTGCTATAGTAAAATACTTAAAATCCAAATCGCTAGTTTTTCCACAAAATACTACTCCAGGTTTCTGATAGCTCGCTATAGTAATGTACCATGTTAAATATCTATCACCTATATGTACCTATATGATTCCCTCTCTCCTATTGTATTTTTTCTTTTTTCCTTTCTATTTGAATTTTCTCAACCTTTCTGGTATTCGTATAAAGTGCGTTATGTAGGATTGAGTGGAAGACCAGCTATTCCCCTAAGAATGAAAGCTGAGCTTCGCCTTTTCCGGGTAGCAATATTATATCCTTATACCTTGCTGTCAATGAATGAAGATTATTATTATTATTAAATGAATGCCTAGGTAAACAACGAAAGTACGCATTTATGTAAAGCTTCCATGGATCGTTCCGCAGTGTTGTCACTGCTATCAAACCATTTATCAATGTTTAAGCATTTATTAAAAATTGTTGCTTACTACTAGTATGTACAGTCTATTAATGAAATCACTGTTGTGAATTGTATTTATTTATCTCATTACCCCCCGTCCGAGAATATCTGTTAAATAGATTTGTTTGAAAATGACTGGGTAGCGAATGATGTGTAGAGATACATAAGATCTTCTTTATCACACAGTATGACGTAGCGGCAGCATCCCTGTCCTCCGCACCGTCGTTTCATGCAGACATTGCGCTGCATTGCCCTTATCTGACAATCTTGTCGGACTTCAAGTTGCAACGCGATAAGCAGAGAGAAAGTCAATGTATTCATTTCCGCCGCGAGATCGACAATGTGACAAGTATATATAAGACGTTCTCAGCATCTTGGTACATACATATTTTCAGCTTACCTTCAGAATAAGTTTTTTGGCTGCCGCTGCTCCAATGATAGCGGGCAGGACGAAGAGGACCTTAACAGCCAGGAACTTGATAACAAGGAGTAGAGCAATCAGTGCATACAGCAGCCTCTCGGTGATGTACTCCCCTGGAAAAAATAAATAAACACGCATTTGTTACTAGTAGTTTGAAGGACATAAACAATAATTAGATGGCTTCGTGGTACCATCATAGTAATTTTGCCCTATCGAATCTGGCCTAAATTTAACAGTAAAGAAAACATGATCTGATGCTCTCTCTGGCTATGTGATACACATTCAAATGTCTTGTTTAAATTATAGAATATGTCTGCAACCATTCTTTTCCTTCGAAAGGGTCTACTATGTCATCGATCAACTCCAAAACGTGGAAACTCAAACTGTTTGAATAGAACATGTAGTTTTCAAAATGTAAGAGAAATTTTTTTACCAAACATTTTTCATACTTTTTTCGTTATCTGTCGGCAGCTCCACCGCCCACCAATTTTCGGAACCCAGAAAGGTTTTCCGTCCTTGGAGTAGTAATCTGGTATGAAAATTCTATCAAAACACGGACGGTACTTTCCAAGTTATAAAGGGAATATAAGCGGACCTACAAAAAAACCCCCAAATCGACGGAAACGGCGAACGTTAAAAAAAACATATCTCATTTCTGAGATTTTTCGCTATTACAATAGCTGATTAGGAAGCAAGAACATCTATTGAAAAGTGTATACCAACTGTACTTTGCGGAACCATGTTTCAGAATATCTACAATTCTACACTATCAAAATGAGCATCACTTACTTTCACCGTCATGCCTGCCACTATGGAGTTTCCTCCACTAAATGAAAATTGATGCGTCACTTCTCATAAGCTTTACCGAATTATTGATGAATTTTATTAATTTAATGTTTTTTGTTTATTAGTACAGCGGGTTACTCGTGCTTAAAGTGTAGGGGTGTTTATCTACAACTGTCCAGGATAAACCACGTTTTACCGTTTAATGCAACCAAATATGTAATAGAGAAAACATTGTTTTTTATTATTTTTGAGGATTTGTCCACAAAAAAATAATGCGATATCGTTTTTCAGCATCGACAAACGGCATGAGAATTATTAACCCAGTTGGCACGCGGGATTGGGGATCAGATTCGATGAACAACTCTATATCCAGGCATTAGATCAATGATAATGAAAGGGCAGCTCAAGTTCAACTCATACTGTGATTCATACCTACTGTAGCTGACAGAAGAATGACATACGGATCGCCTACAGACACCCGACAGTAATGAAGACCCCAATGAGGTGCTTATGTCTGTGTATACCGCTTTTGCTTTTACTTAACGTTAATAGTATCAACGGAAATTGTCATGCCCAGTGGCCCACCTGTGGTACCGAAGAAAATGTTGTTTGTAAGACAAAGTACGGAAAGCCTGTTCCCCATTGCAAGATCATACGTGCTACACCAGAATTCAGGTAACAACAAAGAAGCTTCCTATCAGACAAACGGGGAACACATGGGTTTTACAAAAATTTTTAATATGAGGAGGAACATTTCGAAAACTGTTGGAACATACACTGTGTTGTAGAAAGAAGCGAGTGAAGTACTATGAAATTGGCAGACTTTGATTTTGAGTTTGTATGTATGTTTCGTTTTCGCGTCAAAGCGCCTGAATCGATTTTGATGAACTTTAGCACACATATACGTAAAAGGGTTGAAATCTCGAAAACTACTTGACATATAAACATGAAATTTGGCATAAAGGTAGCTTATGGGCAGGACATGTCAGCGAGTCCTACGATAGGACTATAGGAGAGTGGGTTAGAGGCATTTACAAGTCTGTAGGAAATACCTTAGTTTCTATAATGGAGGTAATTTGGCAGGAAGGTAGTTTATAGGCAGTAGATACCAATTATCAAAAACGCATCTTGCGACAGGGTCGTATTGTAGGGCTTAAAAGATACTCTCTCATACATTTGAAAGTCAGATAAGTCGCTTAAATGGGTGCAAAGTTTCGTATTTAGGTAACTAACAAAACGTTACTTCGAAAGTTTCAAAATTAACTTTCTGGACTGTGGTTTTATGCCCGCAGCTTAGCTCCATCATAAAAACAACCATTTGTTCTCAAGCGTGCAGTTAACTGTTGACTGTTCATTTACTATGCAATGTGTACATATCAATACCCAAAAAAAATGTTAGACAAATGAACGCATGAGAAGTCACAGTTAGCTATGTACATTTTTTGTGCGTATACACGAAGTCGGATAGAACTTCAAACTCCACAGCTGTGCACAGCTTCAAATGCACTAACAGCGCGTGGTTAGTGCGTCGCGACTTAGATGGGAGGAAACTTTATAGAAGCTGTTACACGTGGAAATGCTTACATGTATGCATAAATACATATTTTCTTCGTCGACATTTAAAATACAGCTAGACGTTCAACCCTAACAAAAAATTGTCGTATCTAAAATAGTTTCAGTACCTCCCATAAATTGGCTTTGCATACTTTTTTTCGGAGCTCTGCACAATATAATTTATCCATAACAGAAATTAGAAATAACTGGGAATTTCAGTATCATCCGAACCTCAGTCGCTTCTCCAGGGGTCACAAAGTATTCGATAAAGCCCGGGAAACTTCACTGGAACTAGCAGAGAGCATTCAGGAAAATTTACGTGAAAAATCCGCGTAAAAATTACCCTCAATATGACATAAATATGCCGGCATCCCGGGAGCCTCCACAACACCTATACCTAAGTAGACTGCGCCTCACGCCTTTGGCTACATCCCTGTTTGATATCACTGATATTTCACATCTTTGATTTCAGGGAAACTATTGTCGATTCTCATAACTTCTACCGCAATCATGTAGCGACAGGTAACGAAACCAGAGGTGCATTTAGGCCCATAGCAGATATGAGGACGATATCTTATGATTCGTACCTTGAGTTTACTGCGCAGTGTCAGGCCTCTAGATGTAACTACGACCACGAGTAAGTATACTCTTATAGGACGCATCTTCATAAGTTCTACCTTAAACAAATAGATGGACGGAACTACTTTTTGGTTTAGTATGACTGATTTGACCCATTCGTGGGCCACGTAGCTTCTGAACATATTTAGTTTTTCTCGTTTGAATCGCTGTCACGCTGCCAAAGTTTACAAACCTCCATACAATACAACATATGATATAAGGAGAACTATTGGCATCAAAAATGAATTCTGAGCACCTTAAGAGACAAACAAAAGGCAAAAAAAACAAATAGTACATCCATAAACAGTAGTGAAAGGAGGCCTAAAGAATCATATGATAAAATTAGAATCACAGAGGACATTCAGATCGCGAGGAGGAAACAACCCTGCAACTTGGAAGTACAAGAAACTTAACATTCAAGAAGCATTCCGTGTCTATAATGTGGGAGTCCTAACAATAAATTATAGAGTATTGTTGCATTTTATGGAAGTTAGAGTGTAAATGTTCGTAGGAGGTCTCCTTGTGGTTCAGACTAAGGACATAATCAATCAAGCTGTGTGGACCGCGTCGCCGCAGCCCGTGAGATAAAATTTATTGGATACATAGATACGTACATACCCCCGAGCAGAAAAGATTATATTCCTTCTGAAGCTGTCGGATTAAAAGTTACATAGATGATACGGTGGTAGAATATAAAACATCAAATACGCACAAAGTTTATTGCAAGGAAGGTGATGCAGCAAAGGCCTAGGGCAAAATGAAAAGGTTTCACTCCTGAAAAAGCCTCCGAATGCAAGGCCCAAAAATATGCATCTTAAAATTGGTAGTTCCATTACAGCTACGTTTATACCAGACTCATTATGCAAAAAACATGAATAAAACATTTATTCAATTTCCAATGTGACTTTGACATTGTATGAAAATTCCGAAATGCTCCAAACAACAAAGGACTTGCAAAGTCGTATTAGTTGACAACTCTCAACAGACCCTCCAGCCTGTTTCATGCTACAATCCCTGTGACCGTCCAACGATCAAATATATCCATATTACAGAGACACTTCAGATAGTAGATCGCTTATCATTTGGATGTCTAAAAAGACCAACTCGGTAAGTGCTGGTATCGAAACCATCAAGTTTTACTGCTTTACATCGATTTCATTCCTTTCTAACTGAGGGAATTGTAATAAAAAGAAATCGTTATCATATTGAATGAATCGGCTCCGAGTCCGTAATCAAAACTATCGTATGGAATCAATAATAGCACTGCTCCAATAGAAAACGCATTGAGAACTGTGTCTATTGGAGACGTGACATCGTGGGAAAACAGATTGAATCAGTCTAAGAAGCTCTACAGGATACCAATGAAATTCGTGTTTACCAATATTTGGACAACATCATACGAGTATAATAAAATGAGATTTTGACAGTACGTGTATATGACTACGTTATGTTTATCCTTAGGCGTAACAGCTATGACTGCAACAGTTTTACCACCTGTGAAATCAGTTTTTTAAGCAACGGACACGTGTTTCGATTTGTCAGCATTTTCAATTGTAAAAAACCAGTTAGATGAATAATAAAGCTTAATACTAGTCACAGTGTAGTAACTAGTTCAGGCTCACATGATGGTATTGGTGGTGGTGGTGGTGGCGGTGGCTATTGACAGACTAGTCCTAATTTTATGCAACAATGCCTATTTTTACACCCTGTCTAACAGTATCCGAAAAGCAATATGTTTAATGATCAGAATCCTTTATCTGAAAAAGGTAAGCTCTCTTGGTTTCTATACAATCACCTTTATTGAGAAAAAAATATGCCTTGTTTCAATACGAGATTTGCATTAGAGCCTATCCGCAAAAAAATTAACAAAACCCTGCACCTTGATAAAGTGATCTGAAAACTGGTACCTTGGGGTTTTATAGTTAATGGTTACGAACCTGTCATCGAAATTACGGTATTTTCGAAACAACCCAACTTAGTATCATAACCGGCTAAACACCAGATGAATAAAACCCTGAATAAGACTGGTTTACTAAGAAATGTTTCCTTTTTGCAGAATCATGGAAAAATTAATCTTTTGAGATATTGGGCTCTCTAAAAATTATATTATTGTTTGTTACTGCTCATCCGTTACTATACAGGGTTTGAAAATATTAGCAACCTTGCATTAAGCGCAGTGCCCGGCAAACAAAGTGTGCTAGTTCTTTGCTACGGACACTACCGTTTGGGGTACTAGTTACTTCGTTGTCAAAGTTTCATTGGATTATATGATATTATTAAGGAGTTCTGAAAGAGAAAACGAGTTGCAGTGGTATCCTTTAGCAGCATCTGTCTCCGAAAAAGCGGTAATTCGAAAATCGACAAATCCAAAGATTAGCTCCTTGAATCTTTGCCTCCTGCTTTAGTAATACCATGCATAATTATTAGAGTATGGACTGCAGCTCACAATGACGGTTCAATTATTATTGCAGTGCCGACTGTTATGCAACAAAAAACTTCACCGATGTGGGGCAAAACCTGAATGGGAGAGTTATCGAAGAAGACACTAATTTTACTTTCTCATCAGTCGAAGAAACCAGAAGTATGGTATCCCAATGGTAAGTTTGTCATGTCCGGTTTAAGAGTTCGTTGGAGAAACTTTCTATTAATGGGTCCAATTTTTATTTTCTTTGCGAAATATCTACTTGTAGGGAATAAAACTTAAAGCTTAAAATGTAACACAGACTTTTCAGGAGAAGCTTTCTATATGAAAGACTACCTCTTTATCTGAGATGGTCCAGTATTTAACGTGATTAGAAAAATGTCCTTATGAAAAGCCTATGTGCAAATGGAGCTTTACCAAAGATCTTCTTCTCGTTAGTAGGAATTCTGAATGCAGTCACCAAAAGCTAAACATATTTCCATATAGCAAAATACAAAAATATGAAGAGCAAATAACAAAAGTAATATTTGGAGTAGCAACAACCAGGAAGCGGAGCTTGGTACTTTTGCTGACCCAGTTGTACCAACACTGTACTGCTGCGCATGCTTATCTATTGATTTACTGATCCCTTAAACAAACCAGCTTAGCGGTGCGATCTGTCATTGATCTATTGGGTACATAGATAGATAAACACAACACTGATTATGTAAACACAGGTCGGAATTTGAACCTGCGAGCCTTCCAGCCGATGTACTGCGAGCCAAATAAAACAACGGCTCGGTGGGTTTTGAATATTGATCCAGTGGCAGGGGAGCTATGGGAAAAAAGGAAAATCCCTGCAACTTCAAGCTCACGTTGGTATACTTACACGCCTCCAACCCAAGTAATGCTATGCACATATTAGGCATATTCCGCTCATCATAGATGTAACCGTACATACATTCACCCCTAAAGCTTGTCCTGCATGGTGAAGGCCAATATAATAATAATAATAATAATAATAATAATATGAAAATAATGACTTTATTCAAAAGATGATCATAGTATGGCGAAGTTTAGCCATGGCTACTCTACCACTTAACCATACTACAACCAGACATTACAAAACATTAGCATAACAACATGAATCAGTAGCTGTAAGGAATGCATTAAAAAGGTAAATATATAATATGAACATATACAAAGAAAAGAAAAAAAAAGAACAAGATATCGTTCAGCAAAATGAATTTATCACGCAATGTGCTGAGTCCAGAAAGTGCAACTTGACTGTCTTCTTGAAGCGCTGCAAACTTAGGCTCTTAGAGATAGCTGGCAAAGAATTGTATACCTTGACTGTATTATAAGTAAAGGACCTTTCAAAGACCGACGTACGATGTATAGGAATGGAAAGTAGATCATTGTGCCGCAGTTTTAGAGTAATTTGGTTTCCACAAGGAATCAACTTACAGAGCAAATAGACGGGTTTACCAGTTTTAAAAATTCTATGCACCAATGAAGCCATAGAGTAGTTGTATAAGCCGTCAACTCTGAGCCACTGTAACTCCTTGATTTTTGAGGAAACGCTACTGTACTACCTAAGCCCAAATATGAATCTGCAACAGTAGTTCTGAAGCTTCTGCAATTTTGACTTGCAAGCTGAGTCTAGGCATGGGTAAATGAGGACTAGAGAGTAAGCTAAAATTGATAATATGAGGCTTTCACACAACTTTTTACGGCACTTAAAGTTTAGAATATGGCGACTAGAATATAAAAGCTTCATCTTCATATAACTCGACTTCATAATATTATTCACATGTAAGTTAAATCGAAGATTTGAATCAAATATAACACCTAGATTCTTAGCATTATCACAAAATGGAATATCTATGTCGTTGATAAACAAGGAGACTCGATTTGTGATGTTGTAATTTGAATGTCTAGGACAGTATGGTATCGCGGTGCATTTTGATGGATTGATGCGGAGACAGTGTCTATTGCAATACGTTAATATGTTATCAAGATCTAGGTTAATTTTATAGGATGCTTCATGTAAGTTGGGTTCATTGAAACGAAATGTTAGCTGTGTATCGTCAGCATACATTTGAATGCAACAATGTTCTACATACTCATGCAGATCGAATGTGTATACTAGGAATAAAAGAGGTCCCAGTACTGAACCCTGTGGAACTCCTGATGACAGATACTGTGCATCAGAAGTTCCTCTAGATGTTTTCACTCTTTGGGTGCGATCAGTTAGGTACGATCTGAAGAAATTCAAAGGAACTTCCGACATGCCATAATATTTTAGCTTACTCAAAAGAATCTCATGATTGACCGTATCGAAAGCCTTGGAAAAATCAAGCATGACCAACAGCGTGCCGAATTTGTTGTCAAGGTTGGAAAGTATCTCATCTGCAAGATGTAGTAGTGCAGTAGTCGTACTGTGACCTTCACGAAAACCAGATTGGTGTACTGGAAAGAAATTATTATTAGCAAAATACTCAACAAGCTGTTCGTATACTATCTTCTCCAAGACTTTCGACAAGAAACATAAACCACTTATAGGTGTAAGATCGGCATGTTCAGACGGATTCTTACTTTTGGCTAGAGGTGTGACTATTGCCTCCTTCCAGTTGGATGGGAAAACGTCGCTCTCTAAGCAAATATTAATAATATGCGTGATGTGATCAAGTATTTCAGGCAGACAAGCCTAGCATAGTTAGAGTGATGCCGTCACAACCCGCTGCTTCAGACTTGATAGACAAGACTGCATTCATAACTTCACGAGGGGTTACCAGACGAAAGTGAAATGGTGACACGTCGGGATCGAAGCGTCTGTTGCTGTAGCTGTTGACAGTGGATTGTACTACTTTGAGGTTTTGATCGGCAGGCATAAAAGTACTTAAAAAGTATTCGTTGACTTCACGGGGATCTAGCAGATTAAACGGTACATCAACACGTTTCTGTTGACGGACATTCATAGATCTAAGTGTTTTCCATGCTGACCGTGTACTAATATCACCATATCTAGAAAGGTAGGCCCTCTTCTCCCTACGAAAGGAAGCAAGTGCGTAATTCCGCATATCTTTGTACGTAGACCAGTTCACATAAGATGGGTCATGACGAAAATTCAAGACAGCTTGGTCGCGTTCCTTAAAGATGCATCTCAGGTTCGATGTTATCCATGGAGCAGCCGGTTTTGTTACACGAGCAGTTCGTAATGGCGCGTGCATATCATATATTTGTATTATGCAACTAGATAGACAGCTTACTTTGTCATCAACATCCATAAAGTAAAAGATACGATCAAGTCCAGCATGAAGTAAGTCGCCCTTGAAATTAATAACATCAAATATATATCGTCATTCACGCGGGATTGATCACCGCAACAGTCATGTGGACCTGCAGCAATTCCTCTCAGAGGGGGGAGGAAGGCCATTTAATTTTTTCTCGTGGCTAACTTTTCTCTCATAAGGTCTAACATGTGCCAATCATAATCACTTACGAACTGATGACAGGGAAAGTAGATAGTCAGGTTACTTGACGCCGTAATTCAGTCTGTCCATGGGCACTGTACGTTCTTGGATTTCTTTGAGGAGTAATAGCAATGTAGGGGCTTGGAGCGATATTCGCTGTGTGCGAGATATTTGGCTTGTCTTTCATCGAAATTGAGCAAAACCAAATACTTAAAAAAGTTGTGGTGCATATTAGGCTCAGAAATTTGTGTACTTGAACCAAAATGGAATATAGTTTAAACCAAAAAAATATTTAAGCGTCTAACCTCCAGAAAATGAAGAAATTTCTGTAAGCATAGCCCCACGGTACCCAATGGGTGATTAGGCCTTAGGCCTTCGTGGTAGTTGGAGTATAAAAAAAACATGTGAGAAACATTGAAGAGCCTAAACCGAACGGACAAAGCTTTTGAATCAGGTTTGTGATCATAAGACAAACATGTGTTTATCTTGGCTTGGCCGCACTCGCCGTGTCTGTTCTCAGTCTCAGTGTTTATGGATTGCAGGTTGCAAAAATTGTGCTAAAACTATAGCAAATGCGTGGTATTTGCAGGTTTGATTAAGTTTTTCGCATACTTTTATAACCTGTGTACGTGCTACGTTTTGTCCAGAGAAATTCCCTTGAAGACAACTATAGATGGCTTTATATTTGATTGCTTGATTTGACCATTTGATATCAACATTTTCTAAGCAAAGTATTAAAAAATTTATATTTTTGAAGGTCTATAGGATTACACTTATGTTGACCCTATTGCAGTCCACAAACTGTGAGTCGTCGGCATTTCATAGCGTACTATTGCCAAGCTTAGTATAAAGCTTAAAATTGAGCGAAAATATCGGCCCATGCTAACGATCCTGCTGCTCCTTTTGCTCTACCTTCCCTCACTTTCACAGAAAGCGTAGTGATCAAATATATTTACATATTTTCCCCCCTCTCCCTCCATTTTCCAAACAATCGATGTTCCAGGTCCGATGTATCATGAAACGCACAGTATTTTTGACATGTCACACTTGACAACTTCCATGTAAGCTTATTGTTTTCTGTACAAATTTCATAACCTGTGATATGATGTTCTTCATGAGTTTCGATTGCGCTTTGACATCCACTGGGGTGAACAGCTTATGAGCAAGTGATATCTGTGTATTAAAGTGCAGTGTTGTTGTTTGTTTATCTTGTCTTATTCCTACTTTACCTGAAATATAGATGAGCATTAGCAACCATTACGCCTGTAGCGTGTTTTCTTGTGTGCGAGCGTCCTTCGGAAGTATGAATCGGTAGCGTACAAAGGATCTAGCGTTGACAGATTCGTCAAACTTGTTTGACTCTTGCCGATACTTTGAGTTGTTACTAGATAATCAGCTGTTATTTGCTGTGACGTTTTACCTAATGGAGATTCGTAAAAAATGTCATAATAAAAACAAAATGTATCCAGTAATATCATACTAGGTTATGTCGCTCACTTTCTCCTCTTTACAGCACCTATCCATGTATCTCTTTGCTCTAATTTCTATGTTCCTGTAGGAAGCGTATAAAACTTGTTCGTAACACTTTTTCAATGTTTTCACGCGCAACATGTATTGTAACGCATTTCGAGGAATTTTTTTTGAAACGGTATGAAGTGTACCAATTTGGCACATATCAATTCTAAGTTATTTCAGATCCCTGCCACATCTCGTGCTGCGATCGCTTTGACGGTCCCACTACTCACTTCGCATATAGCAAACAGTGTATCATGATGTAATCCATAGGGTTGGAACACTCGAAGGCAACGAGCAGATTGTTTTCGAGCCCTGTCAGTGGAGTGACTAGTTGCATTTCAAAGTTTAAACAGATAAAATATATTTCGATATGTTTTGCTTGGGGAATAACTGATGTACTTGGTTGAAATAATGTTATTATGTACACGATATTGGGAGTCAGCAGCTGCATAATTCATTCGAAGTTTTATAATCTAGATCAAAATTGCATTCAAAACCTCCCAAATTGTAAAATCAATCAATTAATGTAGATTATAAGAAATCAAATGAAAACCTATTGTACAGTGGACCATTTCAGAAATTTCATATTCTAGTTCTTTTATGTCCAAACAAAAACTGGGGCCTAAGATCGTTTTACTACAAAGAAAAAACGACCGGTAACAAATACGCCCTTATTTCACGTCCTTGCCAAATCGCGAGCTGCATTCGATTTGACCCCCATCACCCACTTCGCATATAGCGAACATCAGTTTTTAAATCCCACGCTACCTGGATTCGCAATTGAGGCGTTATGTTTTTTGGATGTTACTCAATATGTAGATTATGAAAAACTATGTCACTTACTTCTGCCGGTCTGGATGTGAGTCTGTCTGTACGCTAGTCCTTCTCTAATCTATAACTTGGAAAGTGCCGCTCGGATTTTGATGAAATCTTGACACTGGGCTACTATTACGTCATGGGCAAAAAAGCTTTGTAGTTTTTGGAACTCGGCCCAGGGGCGGCGGAGCGGGGAGCAAAAATTCAAAAAGAAAATAAAAATTTCGTTTTTCAACGTATCAGAGGCTCCAGAGCTTCCGTAAGGTTTAAAATTTGGGTGTTTTGGGTTGTGTGGAATCTAGAGTGAAGTACATTTAATTTTTTTTGGCGGTAGTTCCTGTAGTCGTACCATTCCTGCTCCAGTGATTCTACTCACCCATTAGTACAAACAACATCATGGATTTCCCTGTAAATTTGTCCTCAAAACATGGGTAAATATCAAGCAAACGCATCTTGTCTGGGTCGCACTTACGCTACAAACCTGCGCGCGCAAAATCTTGTTTGTGTCCGACGTCTAATGTCTCATCAAATGTATGGGTAATATGGATTAATTGTGTAAGCCTATTTCGTCGCATCAGTGTGTGGGCTGTCATTTCATTATCTGTAACTAAACCCACCAGAAAAGTTTCCTTACTTCCCTTCCTACGCGTAATTTTAGAATTTCGTTTTGTGACAGACGAGTCAGGTATTAATTTTTGTGACTAGTATTATTAACTACCACTAAAACCAACTTCAAACTATTATCAACTTTACCAAGGATTCAATAGAATATTATTCCCGAGCATTGTATGTTTTCAAGATCCAACTTATTGCCACAGGTTCGAGCTAGAGATCGTAGAAAGTGATGATAAAGTTTTAAGAGACTTCAGCAGAATGAAGGCAGTCATGATCGGATACCTTTACCAGATGGTGTGGGCAGAAACGCATCGTATAGGATGTGGAAGAAGCGTAAAAGAGGATAAGTAAGTGTACACTGAAGAGAAGGGTAACCAGTAAAAAAAATATAACATATCATGGTCGGTCTTATGGGAACGGGAGTAGTTCATGCAGCGTCCGCATGCTTGCCAAACCTCAACAAACCGTCACAGATGCAAACGTGTGTTTGCACAGGTTTGCAAGCGCTTGTAACCGATCGACAGGGTCATTACGTAATAAGCTTTATAATGTCAAAAAAAACGAGAAAATGTCAACTTGTTGACTAGATTGCTAATGTGCAAATAGTCCATTTCTTGCTTGCTATAAGTAGGCATGAAGTGAACGATTGCTAGTTCCAAGTTGAAAAGTCTAGATAATGACTGAAAAAACCTACATAATGTAAAAAAACAGCGGTAACAACTTAGACATAGGTTTGTTCAGTAATAAGCTGGGTCTAATTGACCTCTAGTATTGTACAAGTAACTGAATTTAATTCAACTCAGCTCAGTACAACTACGCTGTAGTTCTAATTTTTAGTGCTTTATAGGTACCTATGAATATAAAACATTTTTTTTATTAAATATGTAAAAGATTGATGATTCAGTAAGGAAAAACTCAATTTGAATCTTAGCTAATAGTTGCCATCACTGTAGAGAATAAACAATTAGCCTGTTCACTCGACCCGCACGGGTATCATGTAAAAAACCTACAAAACGTCAAAAAAAACCTATATGATGTCAATTTGCAGACTAGGTAGTTTTTAGGGTGCAAACAGTCATTCCACGTTTGCTCACCATCTATGGAGAAATCACTCAACTAAACTACACATTATTGGTTGCATAGTTTTGTGAGGCTGAGTGATCCGGGTCTGTAGCTTTTATCTCTGAGAAGAAAGTTGGTTGAATAGTAAGACCGCATCTGGATGATTATGTGTATTGGACTGCATGTGTATAAAATCAGTGATATTTGCTGTGTGAGAAAATCATTACTGAATATGCCGAATATGGGTTATTTATATGTTGTGCTTTCTGAAGAGAGGTTATGCTCAAAGTTATAAATTATGAAAAACTGAGGAGAATTACGGGAAATCATCACCGCGCCCGCGTAGTGAGTAATTACTGTTAGCATGTATATGGCTTGTAATTCGACATTGTACAATGAATATAATTATTTCTTATCTCTCTCATTTTTGAAATTCAGCAAATTTGTATATGTAATTTCCAGAATGGATAAGAAAAAGTGGATGCGCAACTAATTTCTTGCTTTGAATCTCAATTAAGTGTATTTGAGACAAGAACCCTATGTAGTTATCATCAACACATACACTTACAGCTTAGACCTCCAGCAATGCCATCTCAGAAGCTGACTTTACATCACATCAGAGCCAAAGATTGATAACGAGCCTCATGACGTTTAGGCAACACGTACAACTAAGTGCTAAGTTAATATCTTGCGGGTATCACGTATCTTGAAAAGTGACATTATGCCGATTTTTTTTGACATTATGCTGGTTTTTTTTACATTATGTAGGTTATTCTACAAGATATTAACTTAGCACTTAGTTGTACGTGTAGCCTAAACGTCATGAGGTTTGTTATCAATCTTTGGCTCTGATGTGATGTAAAATCTGCTTCTGAGATGGCATTACTGGAGGTCTAAGCTGTAGGTTGTATGTGTTGATGATAATTACATTGGGTTCTTGTCTCAAATACTCTTTATTGAGATCCAAAGCTAGAAACTAGTTGCGCATCCACTTTTTCTTATCCATTCTGGAAATTACATACCCAAATTTACACTGTCGAATTACAAGTAATATACACGCTAACAGTAATTACACACAACGCGGGCGCGGTGATGATTTCCCGTAATTCTCCTCAGTTTTTCGTAATTTATAACTTTGAACATAACCTCTCTTCAGAAAGCACAACACATAAGTAACCCGTCATATTCGGCATATTCAGTACTGATTTTCTCACACAGCAAATATCACTGATTTTATACACATGCAGATCAATAAGTACACAAAATCATCCAGATGCGATCTTGCTATTCAACCAACTTTGTTCTCAGAGATAAAAACTACAGACCCGAATCACTCAGCCTCACAAAGCTATGCAACCAATAATGCGTAGTTTAGTTGAGCGATTCCTCCATAGATGGGCGTTCACAACGATCCTAGTGAGCAAGTGGAATGACTGCGCCCTAAAAAATACCTAGTCTGCAAGTTGACATCTTATAAGTTTTTTTGACGTTTTATAGGTTTTTCACATGATACCCATGCCGTACCGGATGATCCAGGTGGTCAATATATCTACGAGGTCGTGATGTCAGTGCTGCTATTCTGTAGTGCCGACGCTGTTAAAATGATATTAATATGGACTATCAATTGCCTCTCTCTAGCTACAGGAATGCACCCTGATCATCATGAAGGCAAGTGTTGATCTTACTTAATCATATCCACAATACTGCCATTTTGTACTCCGTAATCCATTGAATTACATAGTAGTGGACCAGCCGGAGCAAATATAAACGATTAGTATTGAATTGAAATTGAAATCCACAACAAGTTGAATCAACAACTAATAGAAGATTAGAGTCTAGATTGTGTCGCCGCCCTCAAGCATGTGGATGGCGATGTTTGCGGCCCAAAAAAAGCCAAACGTTTGTAGGGGTTTGAAGTTTTCGGCAAGCGCCAAGTGTGCGTTTGCAGCATTATATTTGGTTGAAGTTTGATGGCTCCTATCGTGTACCTTCTATTCAAGATGCGGCTATCAAAAGCATCCAGTAACTTGAACGTCGTCCAATCGAGCATATTCAGTTATTTCTTACATTTCTGACTATAAGAGGTGTTTGATAATATTTCATGATTACAGTCACGAGAATATGTCGATTTCCAATTCTTTATGAAGTTGCTTTACTCAGGCTATTTGCAGAACCTCTTTCAGCCAGGCTTTTGACATTTCACATCAAACGATCTATTTTTTTGGCCCGCGGTGTAAAAATATATTTCAGAGTGTGAAGTACTACAGACACTAAAAGGTCAAGGAACATACATGCCTATTACGCCCGAGATGCATGATATACGACTGCCGATACGGTATTTAAAATTAAAAGAATACCGTGCGCTTAAGTCACTTTACCGTCGTAGGAGGTACTTAACAAAGCACATCTGTTTATCTTAGAATACGATTAAATTATTAAGCGTTTAATCTTTTGAACGTTAATTTTTTTGTCCATTCGACTTCTGATACGCACACTGTTTCACCGTAAAAATACGCTCGCTCAAGATTACATTGATACAGATGCACACTATTCGATCCAATGCCCGGGTTCACCGGAAGCAAATGCTAACTGCCGGTACCAGTGGCCTTAACTTGTCGCGCAGCTACAAAGTGCGGACCTAGCTGCAGATGGTATAGGCCCACACTATCGACGCACGTTTAGTCGAAATGCTGACTGGGAGGCAGCGCTTTATTTTCTAATGGCTAAGCCTACCTTTCTGATTTGTTTGTAGGTATAACATGATGATTTGCAACTATGGACCAAGAGGCCTTAGAGTGACTAAGCCTATAGGAAAGTTCGGCAGACCTTGCAGCAGGTGTCCTGAAAAACCTGAGAAATTGAGCTGCAATGAAGTTTACGAAGGGCTTTGTGGTGAAGTCGACAAAAGTCACTATAATCTAACCATTAGTCGAGCAGCCCAAGTAGTTGATAACAATATGTGTTCGTGGCTAACAAAAATGTGTTTTGCAACTTCTTTTTCATTGAATATCTGGTTTTCCGACTTGACAAATTGGATCTCTTGACTAGAAATCTATGTAGAAGAATAAAGTGTTGTATAAATCGTTTGAAACAAATCATTTCTAATGTCTCTACGTACTCATAGGCTGCTCCATATTTCACACAGTCTCGTCTGTAGTCTAGTTAGTAGTGCTTTGGTTGCTCATGTTCTGATGCACGCGACATTTGTCGCTATAGACAACAACAAGCTCGACACCAAGTGCTCAGGTGCGTATCTAGTCTAGCCGTAACTTTCACCACAAATTGATGGTAAGCTGTTAAGTTGTATGAGTCCAACACTCTGATTTATAGTATACTCGTAGATATAGAGGAAGATCCGAGGCCTGTCAGGCATAAATTATTTCCTGAAAAAACCCTGTGGCACTAGGTAGCATTTGTATGTACCAGGTGAGGCTAGGTGAAGGTTAATAAAAATAGGACTATCTCAACTTCTATTCTGATAGTTGATTAAGATACAGGGTGTTTTCAAAGTTGCATCATTTATTTTAACAGCTTGTAGAACTCGTCAAAATAAGTTAATATACCAAAAATCACCTTTATAAAAGTGGCATAATAAAAGATTTGGTATACATTATTAAAAATTATTGAAAAGAATTATCAAGTTAATTGAATACCGTTTGTACAAAAACTGTTCAAAATCTTGCTCGGCGAATGTACGACTGTTTACAGGCTTCGAAAGTGAAACCCAGGTGTCCACGAATTCAATCAAAGGCATGCTCGGTGCGCGGTTGAAGTTTTTCCAGAGTATTTACTGCTCCATCATGATACATCAACTCTTTCAAATAGCCCCACAGAGAAAAATCGCAAGGTGTCCAATAAGCATGCCATTTACCACGACAGCCCAAACATTTAATGAAAATCTATGTTGAAAATGAGCTCTTCTTACAGCACGCTGAGTTTTTACTGTCCAAACATAATTGTAGTAGAAATTATGTGCTCCATTTCGTGTAAATGTAGACTCGTCTGTACACAAAATTAATTTTCGTAAGATCTTCATTTCTGCCGAACTGTTCTAAAAGCTACTGGCAAAATGCAACTCTTCTAGGATGATCTTCAGGTTGCAACGCTTGTACCCGTTGATAATGATAAGGATAAGGATAATGATAAGGATAATGATAAGGATAATACTGTTCTTGTCGTATTATCTTCCAAACTTTTACTATAAGAAACTTGAGCCGCTATGGCTACAGTTCTCCACCATTTCTAAAATGTCTTCCTCAATTTGTTACATTTCAGGTTGAGCAGGTCTTCCAGCGTGACCTCCTCCTCATTGTTGACTCAACTTTGAAAACTGCGTATACTTTTTAAAATATTTCTAGAGAGTACTCGTAATATCCAGTACTGCCAGAGACTTTCCGCCGACCGTAACATCCGCCAGATACTTTGAAGCTTAAACAGGATGTTCAACTAAATTGACCGCTCTCTACGTTTTTGGTATCGCCGTTTAGAAAAAAAAATATACAAAAGTTATATGGTCTAAGACGATATTTTTCAGGCAGTCTCTCTTTTGTATTTGGGATTGCAACGAGTTTCAACATTTAGTCGTTCCCGAAAGCGAATGCGTATACTCGTATCTACTGTCGATATTCGTGAATGTGAATATTCTGTTTTCCTTCTCTATATATTACATCAAAACATCCTTCAAGGGAAGAAAAATTTTATTCCTGGACCTTAGTATTCCTCAAGTTCAGTTTGATTATGAAATGACTGTTTGAAAGAAATAACAAAAAACCAAATAAGTTTCAAGTTTATAAACTATCGTTTTATTTGGAAGCCCAGGGTCAAGAACTGTCGTTTTTATTTGTAAAACATTTATAATTAAAGACTGATATGAGTGAAAACGAATATGTCCTTAATCCCCCGTATTTCTCTGGCCAATCGAAACCACGTGTAAATTTTCGGTTACAACTAGGTAACTAGGTTTGCCATCTACTAAAATACAAAACCCGGAATCGGCACTGTACTTGGTCGGACATTTGACGGATCGATGCGATTAAAACTAAGAAGACGGGGGTGGCAGCGACTTGGCTGCATCAGTGCTTCTGAAAGCGAATGTCTTTGGGATAAGTTTATAATAATTGAAGATCATATAGGTGGAGGGGTTGTCCGCGACTGAGCATTGATGACGGGGGGAAGGGGAAGTTCGCAGATCGGAAAAGTGCAACGCCGGGAGTTGGGGGTGGAAGATACGAGCTCGAAAAATCTGTAGAGCCTCAATGTGATACAATGGATACGAAACCAATGAATTGAACAACAAAAGCTGAGGGAGTCGAGCTATGGAAAGATGAAGTTAATTTTGAAGTTTTATGAGCTTGTTTGTGTCAGATAAATGTGGAAGTTCCGGGATTCGAATTACTGTCCCGCGGGCACTGAAGTTTGGAAGTAGGAAGAAACCTCTACCAAAACTCCAGTACTCGCCAGTAGAGAGAACGAACTCTAATTTCGAACATACCCTAGAAGTAACTACTACTAAATTACCTTCGGTATATGAACAAATATATCCTATACTGGATAGGAGCGCTATAGCAATGTGCCGGGAACAATCTGGGTAAGAAGACAACCCAGAAATAAGTTTATTGTGTAAGAATGTGCATGTTGTTCCATCTTAAGTTTTAGGGGCAACTGTGTGGGTAAATCTATGATGTGTGAAATACGTCTAATATGAGCGTATAACTACAGCGTTACTAACATCAAGAAATTGTGATACACCCCCACAACCCCCTAAGCCACCAAGTTTTGAACCCTGAAAATTGTTTAAAAAATGACCCTCTGAAACGTGAAAAAAACGAAGTTTGCGCGAGTTTTCTTCCTTTAGTTTTTTGCAGTTTTCTTATCCGCTACTGGACCGATTTTTAAACATCCAATCCGGTACTTCTCAAGTTATTGCTGGTTCAAGGATTCAAGGATCAGCGGAGAGACAGACTGGCGGAAATAAGTGACACAAAATCCAAAAAACGTAATATTGCCCTTACTACTTTTTTTTCGATTGCAACACCTAGGAAGTTAAAATAAAACTTATGTTGTCTAGCATAATGTTTTTCATTGAATATCCGTTATAGACCAAAGTCTTATTTTTCAATAGACTACTCTGCAATTTTTAGAGGGAATAATATTCACTATTTTCAGTTCAAGCATATATGGTATGTTGTACTTATTTTTATCAGTTTGATCAAACATCTAGGCTTTTTGTGTAATTTAAAGATGCATATTTGAGTTCAAGAAAGTTAGCATCCAGCTGCCTAGATGCAACTGATATAAGAATTAATGACTTTTAAGATTAAAGTGTTGACTAAATCGACAACACGAAATATAACAAACCATATATTTTCGGAATCAGAGAAAATAACGTCAAGTGGGTTAACCCCGCACTTCCTACGCAACGCTATCATCAATGCATAAGAAATTACATCCGTCACAAGTTAGTTCGTCTCAGCAAAACATTGGCCACGAACATGTATAACAAATTATTAAAAAAATAGATCTTACAATAAAGCAAAGATTTTTCTAAAAATGATCAGGAGCCTCTGAAATGTCAAAAAATGAAGTTTCAGGTATTTTTTTTTTCATATCTTTGTCCCTAGCTCCACCACCACTGGACCGATTTTCAAAATCCACAAAGCTTTTTTGTCCTTGGCATAGTAGTAATTTTGTGTGAGCATTTCATCCAAATCCGAGCAGTACTTGTTTTTTCGCGATATACAAGATGGACAACTAAGAATGCGAGATACTTATCTGGGAACCTAACTATTGCAGAGGCTTGCGGAAAAATAGTTACAACTAAAACGGCCAAGAGAAAAACCTGTAAAATATTTTCAAGTTTTTGAAATGGCCGCTAGGAGACGTAACTGCAATCTTGAATCTGAAAAAGTGATGATCCTGTGAATTCGGCTATACGAGGATTAACCTAACAAAGAATATACCTGATTCCTAAATTCGAGGATAATATTTTATTAATTGTTTACTAATTTTTTGTTTGACAATTTTTGCTGTAACTCGAAAAATCGATTTCAACAAGCCTGAGCTACAAATGTTATAATACTTGTACATGTTTTATAACATCCAAACAATGTAATGTCCCACCCGAAATTTTTCGCTATTACAATACTTCTTCACCCACTGGCGTGGGAAGTGAAAAAAAGCGATCATTTTCTCTGAAAACATACATTCCACTTAAAAGTATTTGAGTCTTTTCTGAGATGCCGGATAAACACTATAGATATCGCGTGAAAAACTTCTTAGACCCTATTCATATTAAGCTTTTTTCTAAACAAACAAAAAATATAGAGTGAGGTAAATTTTCCGAGACACCGTGCTTGAAAATTGAAAGCGTCTGGCAGCAGAAGTTATAGCTAACAGTAAGTGTCTGGCAATGCTGGATATTACTTTGCAATCTATACAGTAGGTATAAAAATCGGCCGCCAGAATTTAGTCCTATTTTTAGTTACCGTTCTGGGATGGTATTTATAAATCGGCCACTTATCCAGCTCATCACATACGCAAAAGCTCAAGGTACATATAAACGCTATTCAGTGTCTCACATTTGTCTTTCAGATAATTAGTAATGTCTGGCAGCCCTGGGATCTTGAACTACTACGGTGACTGCTGCCTTGGCAACATGAACAGGTTGACTTAATGAATGACGTTTGCTACTGAGCCAGATAATGGACATGTCTCTTAAAGGTTGCGTTTTAACTCAGATAATGCTACTTCTGCTTGCACTCAACCTCAAATGCACATCTGGGCACTGCTATACTCGGTGGCCATCCTGTGGTAATATAAAGAATATTGTATGCTTGACAGATTATGGAAAACCGGCCCCAAGCTGTGAGATAATCCATGGTCAACCCAAATTCAGGTAATATTACATAGGTTACTTTAACCAGTAATTGGATAGATTATGTGTACGATTCTGTTTCAACAAAATTGTCATGCATGTTCGACAATTTGCATAGAGACGTACGTAATATCAATATGTAGAAACTTCTTAAAGCAAGCTACAGTAATGTATTTGGAAAGAATATTTTATTGAACCCATAGAAAAACTACGGGTAAGCGCTTAATGCAAATACTTCATTTCTTACTTTAAAATGAAAGATTAGGTACACCCTAGTCTTGCACGAAAATATAATTTTTTCTTTAAGGAACCCTCTGCTTGCTATTTTATAGAACTTCGAAGTTGCATTTTTGGTGGTAATACTCTAGAATAGAATACTGTTTTATATGCTGTCTTTTTTTGATTTTTATACATACACATACATACACTGTATAGTAGTAAAGAAAATCGTTGTTTTTTGCAAAAAAAATGTTCAAAACCACACATTAGCTTATTAGCTTAAATGATAGATCAAAATACATACGTTAATGATGGTATTTACTTAGTAAACTGAGTAGAGGTGTTGTTTTGTAATTTCTCATTGTCTTCTTGAGACTCCTTAACCATTTTTTTTCGCGCATTTTCAATGAGATCAAAGTTTTTGCGTTTATAAGAAATATTTGAAAGTACAAACAATTCTGAATGGCCATTTTATAACGCTCATTTCTTGACAGATAAAATAAATGATGTCCATTGCTGCCAAGTTGTATCTTTTTTGGAGAAATACGTAATTAGAAATAAGTCTATTTGCAAAGTAAAAGTCAGAATTTATTGTAAATGGCTTGTTTTATGAACAGTTGTCTGAATATTTACCGAAAGATAGACGAAATTTCGAACAGTATGTGTCTAAGCAGTGGAAAATGCACCAGCGGCTCGCGTGACATGAAAAATACAAAAGGCACCAGCGGTCATTGCATATAAAAATACCCAATGTCGATTTGTCGATTTGGACCACCTCGTCAGGTCCACCCAACATATCATCGACCAACATTATAGTTAAATAAACGATAATTTCATCAAATCATCAAAAAACTTGCAATGTTCTTTATGTTTTCATTATTTAGTGATTTGCAACAGCTACTTTTTCAGTTATTTCTCATATATATCACATTTAATTAGGTATATTTTGTAACACCAGCGTCACTTTAAATAATTCTTCAAGTACATGCATACAGTAAATATGTTATAACTATAATATATGAAAAACAATAACCGAAGTACTTTTGTGAAGGGCATAAGGCATTCTTCAAAAAAGTCTCATTAGCTAACGCTCTCGTAGGGCACAAGGTGGATTTAGTACAGTAAACCTGCCGGCCACACCTCCAAATCGCATTTTCATGACAATCCGGTACCGATTGCACATTTTTGCGCTAGTATATAAGTAAGAATTTGAAAAACCAAATAAAGGTATATTACTATCCATGATTTGGCAACATCGCAACTAGATGGAGAGAATATTACAGTGACGGTGGTATAGTGATGGGAATAATTATCTGAAATAAAAGAAATTACTACTTAACAATGAACTATTTTCATCATTAATATATTGTAAAATTGCATTATTGCGATGAACAGTGTCACAGTAACTTACAGTGTATGTTATATTCATATAATTTTGAACAAATTTTTTTTATAAACATGAAGAGAACAGCTTAGTATTCTATACCACAGTATTAGCACCCAAAATGGTTCCATAAAATAGCAAGCAGAGGGTTTCTTGAAGAAAAAATGACATTTTCGTGCAAGTTACATCCTAATCTTTCATTTTAAAATAAGAAATGAAATATTTGCGATATGCGTTGAACTATAGTTCAGCCAAGCTCAGCCTAAAGTTTTCTGTTCTCAGTGCTTCTGGAATTAAATTGTTATGAATCAGAATATGTTCATACTTCAGCTCTATATAAAAGCTTATACTCTCGATAGAATGCTCTATTATTTATCACATTATATGTGGATTTTTAGTGTTGTTGTAAACCGCACTAATATGTGCCTTATTTTGTTATAGTCACTTACGTATCAAAAATACTTCCTTGTGGATTGAAATTTTATGTTTCCTTTTTCTAAATTCTATGATTGGTTAGTACAAAATGGTGCAACAACAAGACTGAGCTCTCTTTCTTGACTTAATAGGTATATTTTTAGATTCCAATTCTTGTAAGCTTGTCTTATATAGGTTGTTTTCTGATAAGGACGACTTCCTGGTAGCTTTTAAAACAAAAAGTATAAGTAAACATGGATTCACAATGCTTACGTTTTCGAAAATATATTAACGTAATCATTTCCGATGGATAAATATATCTTCTTTATTTTTCATTTATACCTTTATTGACTTTGTCCATGTAATACCTTTTTATACCAAAGCAGCTACAACCGCGACTGCTACAACGAGGCATGAGACACCTTTGAACTGCGTAAGGTTAGTATAACTGGGAAGAACCTCCTCAGGCAGATTGCTTCACAATCTCGACACCCTCGGAAGAAAGGAGTAGTCGTACCGGCCATTTCTGGATGTTCGAAGATCGACACGGTTAGAATAGGGTGGCCTAAGTCTTGTGGGCTCGCGAAAGTGTTCCAAGACCGTCCGTTAGAGAAACGTCACCCCCATCAGTCGGACAGCTCTCTTCTGAACAGCATCGAGTATGAATAATGTAGTCAAGGCGGCAGCAACCAAAACATGAGAACAGTTCTCAAAGTTAGGTCTTATCTGAGCCTTGTACAGAGCAACGATCTTATGTGGAGAATAGTAATTCTTTGCCCTCAACAAATAGCGTAGGTCTTTTAAAAGCAGCTGCCGCGACCAATGACCATCCATCCATCCATCGAAACCGGGTGAGCGCTAGGTCGCTTTTTGTTAGTCAAGGCACAGTATTGTGTTTTGGAACCTATACCAGACTACTGCATTATCAAGCAGTGATAAGCCTTAGATATCTCGTCAGAGAGGAAGTCGCTACTTCTTTCCAGCTCATCAGCAGATATCGGCTTGGCACTCTGAATTCCTGCATGTAGAGTGTTGTCATAAGCAAAGCTGTGGATCGGGTTGATCGTACAGGAATTGAGGTCATTGATATCTAATAGGAATAATGTCGGAGTCAAGATCGGTCTCGGGAGAGCACCGGCGCCGGCATTGTGGAATGAAGAGGAGAACCTGTCAAATACGATATGTTGCGGCCAGAGAGACAGTCAGCCACTCATCTGCTAAGCCTCTCCGTGAGGTCATACTTTGGAAGTTTGCCTAACAGAGCAGAATACCATAGCTGATCGAACGCTTTAGTAGTATAAAGAGCAACGATATGAGCTTTATAAGTCTAGATGAGCTTACTCCAGTTGAGTGCATTCGTTATCAGCTTTTTGCATTTGATAAGTCGCATTTGAAACCGAAGTCGAAAGTAGTTCAAGAATGTGACAATTTTTGTGAGATCCAAGAACGCCTGCCCGAGGGAGGAATCTCATATCATCGTAGCGTGATTTGAGTGCTTATTTTTTGTCCTTATTCAGTCTCTTCAGTGGCGTATTTTCCACACCCTATTCTTGAACATGAAAAACCATGTTTAATGCATCTCTAATCCTAATAACATATACATATACATAATGGTCCTGCCAAATAAAGAAAACTTGTATAGATCAAGAGGATTTGTATGATTAGATCTTGAGCTTAAATAACGAAGCAAGCTTTGCTGGGAATAAAACTTCACTTAGAGCCTTCCCTCATCGGGATTCTATTACATCGTCAATAATACAGCCATGGCTATCTGTGGAATCAAACGCCACCAGACAGAGTAGCTACATAGTAGCCAGCCGCATCGTTTGCTTGTTAGGTGACAGTGACATCTCTTCAGCTTTGTCGTTTCATAATGGAATCAGATGAGATTGCGAAATGAATGATCTATGGCAAGGATGAAGAAAAAAAAAACTTTAAAAACATCGCCTCTTATCTGATAGAGATCGAAAAAATCTTTTCAAAGAGAGAAACCTAGAAATGAATGTTACCAGTTTTCGGGTGTCGCGATTTCTGACAAGCATTTTAAAAGACGTATTAGGCACCTCCGTGTCTCCATCACTGGTTGTCAGATACCAGATAGGAAGAAAACGGTGTGGCTATGCTTTCAAATTGGTCGGCATGTCAATGGCTCCAATATACTTCAATCGATTAGTCTGGCTACCGATGTTGGCGACAACACCAAGGCGTCCCGATGAGAGGGGGCTCTTATTGATTTTCTGTAGCACCACCGTTTACACATTTCATATTTCTAGAATGCCTATGTTGTCGGCTGCGTGTTATTTCTGCACTGATGATCATCATTTTCAATCTTCAGGAAAGCTATCGTAGAAACCCACAACTACTACCGTAATCATGTAGCAATAGGTAACGAGACTCGAGGTGCCTTCAGACATATTGCTGACATGATGGCCATGTCATACGATTCTGACCTTGAATTTACCGCCCAGTGTCAAGCGGCAAAGTGCATATATGACCATGAGTAAGCCATCATTTTACGTTGATCTTATATAGACTCTCGCGTTAAGATGCACGCGCATTGATGAGTAGGGAAGACCAGGGAAGAGAGGCAAGATTCTTCCCTTGGGTTCCGTTACAAATAGTTAAATAACGAAGGGAACGTCTTTGTCGCCGTGAGCTGTACCTGAACGAATCCAAACAGTCTGACATTGTACACGTCAAGCGACGGTCACTGTGTGTTTGTATAGTTTATTGCGTATTTATCAACGAAGTAATATATTACACCTTTACACCTAACGCAGTTGAAATAATGGACTTCCAAAAATGCCTATTCTCCCGGTCACAAAAATGCTACTATTGTATCGGTCTGTTTTGACTGTTTTCCTCAAACGCTGGAGCACCACTGGAGTATTCAGGGTGATGACAGCCTTTGGGGCTCACCCCTCTCTGATCGGGTGGATACGTTTTTCCTTATCTAATACAGCATGCTGTAACTTTTGTGAAATGTATGGACACAGGAAGGGGCAAGTTTCTGCCCAATTCGCGTTGCTTCACCTCAGTGAGCGTGCAATTTCATAATGATCCAGGCTGAGGCACTGTATTAGGCTAGAGCTGTGCCAAATCTTCCTTTTGTTGATTTCATTCTATGGTTTCGATTCCGGTATATGAGCTAATTCTTTTGATATCCAACCCACAACCATTGTAGATCGGTACTGATTTGCAGTTGGTCGAAATGGAGGCCTTAGGGGCGATATTCGAAACCGAGCGATATGATTCCTTCCAAAGTCTTCGTTCAAATCTTGTCTTTTGTATTCGGAATCGAAATCACCGGAATCGGACTCGATGATCGGAATCGATTCCTCTAATTGTCTCTGGGGTATTGTTTCTTTGGAACGACTTGCTCAAATCCGACCCAACTTTATGATTGTGGCCACCATAACGGAAGTTTGCTAAATGCAAAGTTTCACCAATTTTGGCCTACCAAACAGGTTAAAGATTCCTTCATAATAAACTAACTTTAAAATACTTTTCGGCATCTTAAACGGAAGGTCTTGACTTTAACTTAGTTACTTGATGACATCAAATAATTATTAATCGTGTTTCCAAGCATCATCATTTTTGGGTTTTTTCTGACACTAAGTCGCTTGTAACTCTAAAACGGCCAACTTTAGAGAAGAGCTACTACATACTTTTTTGTTTAGAATGATTGGAGAAACCTGAAAAAAATTGTAGGAAATTCGTTTTTTCATATTGTTTTTTTTGCGAAAATCACATATTTTGCATTTTTTAAAATATCAAGTGCCTTGTACCTGGAAAACAATCAACTTTAGAGAAAACCTCTGAGCTATATTCTTTTGTTAAAATTGTCCTAAAAAACATAAGAACACTTCAGCCACAGGGAAAAAGACAGTCTTTGGAACGTATTTAAGAAAATTTTTTAAATAGTTTTTTTCGGCAACTTTGGGCTCGGCAACATGCAGAAGAACTGTATTAGATTATTTTTTCAGTAGCTTTGAAGATTATCACCTAGACTATACTGCTTTTGTTGTTCGTTCGCCCTTGCCAGCGGTACAACGTTGCCAGATTATCCCATAAAGGCCCATAAAAGCTAAAAAAGGCAAACTTCAGCTTTCTGCACAAAAAAAGTTATTCATACCTTCAGTTAAAGCTATAACCGTGGCTAAAATCTTTCCCTGCAGGACCCCGAATAGTATTTCAAGGTTGGTTTATTTTAAAGTAACTTTTTACCTTGTTTAGTAAGCAAAATGAGCGAACTTTTGACTCATCCTGTTTACGATAGAAAAATGCCGAGCTCCTTCACATCGCATATTGTTCAGAGAAGGCATTTGTGTTGCAATATTTCCCGGATGACACCACTTTTCTAAAATGATTTCATTTCAGTGCTGAATGCTTTAGAACTGAAATGTTCAGTGAAGTTGGACAGAACTTAAATGGAAGAGTCTATGAGGAAGGAGATAACCGGACCTTTGGTTTGATCGAAGAAACCAAAAAAATGGTTTCCGAATGGTATGGTTGAAATGTTGCCTCAACCCAGAGCAGTTTACGCAAACCAGGCAAAACGCTCTACATGAATACACTTATTATTCACCCAGGGTTTTTTCATTAGGTATCATACTTTACCTAGGAAGGAAAATGTAACTTAATCGTTTTAGCTCCAGGTGAATATAGGAGCAAATGTTTTCACTTCTTCATATGGACAAGAATTGACAGGAATTGTAATTAAAATATCAAAAGTAAAATTTAACGATAAAGCCGTCACATTATGTTCTAGCATAACCTGAAATCTCATCCATGTCCTATCCTGGGAATATGATGCTAATTATAGTAAGTGACATATAAATCCGAACACCCAGTTTAAATGGTTTTATTTTAATAAAATTTTGTATAAGAACTTAATGAAGCATAATAAGTAAATGATAAAAATTTCAAAATTATTGCACTGCTTTAAAGCCCTTTGACCTTTAATAATGTGTGGATGCACCCTGATGTGCTACGCATTCTCCAACCGGCTAGGCATTCTTCTGATCAGGTGGTTAATGTCCTCCTGCGGTATCTCATTCCAGGCAACCACCAACTCCTCTCGAAGTGCTTCTAGAGTCTGAGGAGGACGTTGCAAATTGAGCAATCTCCTACCCATCATATCCCACACGTGCTCAATTGGGGATAAGTCGGGAGATCTTGGTGGCCATGGTAACAATGTGACATCATTATGTTGAAAGAAGTCTATTGTGACTCTTGCAACATGTGGTCGGGCATTACCTTGTTGGAAAGTTGGATCTGCCAGGGTGTCAAGATAGGGTAAAAGATGGGGTTCTAGAACTTCGTGGATATAACGCTGCGCGTTCATGTTACCTCTGATGAAGATTAAAGGTGACCTGGAACCATAAGCTATAGCACCCCAAACCATAACTCCAACAGTGTGATGAACATGTCTTTCAACAAAAAACTGTGGATTCCTCCTTTCACCACGTCGCCTTCTAACCCTGGCACGACCATCGTGCATGCCTAAACAAAATCGAGACTCGTCACTAAAGACAATACTGTTCCATTCCTCATCCCAGAGTGACCGTTGTCTGCACCACTCAAGGCGATTACGTCGGTGTTCTCGAGTTAAAGGGAGGACTCAGTGTGGCCGGTATGAGAACAAGCCAAAACTTCTCATTCGTCGGTAAACACTTCGCATGCCAATAGGTCTTCCGTGTTCTGCAAACCATTCATTTGCAATGGACCTGGTAGTGGAGAAACGGTCCCTTAAGGCCGATAACCTTAGGCGGCGATCTTCACGGTCTGTTGTTCTACGGCGGCGTCCAGTGCCCCTTGCTCTTTGCGTACGGCCTTCTAGAAGCCATGCCTGACAACACCTAACCACAGTGTCTACACTTCTTTGCACTCTAACTGCAATTGCCCGAAAAGAAAGTCCAGCTTCCCGAAGTCCCACTATACGGCCCCTACCACACTCACTAAGTTGAGGAAACCGTACAGGTCTCCGTACTCTAGGCATCGTAACCGATCGTAAAGGATGTCAAGAACCAAAATCCGCCAACGTTGATTCTTTACTGCGGCTGAAATATTCATTTTTAGAGCGTTAGTGAATTAAAAAAAAGCAGTATAAAAACCGGAATGTCCAACTGATAAGGCTGAAAATTTGTTCACTTGTTATTTACAGTAAGATAAATACATTCACCAACTTTTATTAAAATAAAACCATTTAAACTGGGTGTTCGAATTTATATGTCACTTAGTATATATCCATGTAGGTACGATATAAGGAAAATAGTTTCTTTTTCCTGGCATTGTTGAAATATCTGGTCATGTCCTATTCGTATTCGGAATAAAAATTAGTTTATGTATTTTTAACAAACGAACCAAAAGTGTCAAGCTGTATCCTGTTTGACAGGTGGATGGAAAAAATTCATTTCAATTTTCTTCTTGCCTTCACCTACTTTAGTTGCGAGTATATTTTTTCCAACTTGCCTTAGCATTTGCGTTTTAGCGACTTTCACTAAAGATTGATACTGAAATAGGCACCTGGCACCATAAAATGAATTAAAGGGGAAGAGAAGGCGTCTGAATCTAGATACTTTTTCAGACTGACCCTCAACAGTTGAAAAGGTTGTAGCTTAAAAAGCATACGAAAAGCTAAAACCGTAGAATAAGGGCCTTGGTCATCTACAAAGTTCTCGTGTGTCTGCCATTCCGACTAAATCTATTGAATATACATTTAACCTCATATCCGCAGCATCAAAGCGGATACAAGCACTCGATTGTTACCACAATCTGCTTGTCGGTGCCTGTCCTGTCGCGAATTTGATCGTCGCGCGCTGGTGTGTGTTTAGACGGGGACATATTATGAACACACGGTAGTCAAGTTATGCAATACACGTTTTACAAACACTTCTAATTATAGTAATATTTGTTGAACATATAGGTATGAGTACGAAATTACTGAAAGTAATGAGAAGGTGTTCCAGGACTTCAGCAGACTGAAAGCGGTGCTGATTGGATATCTATACCAAATGATATGGGCTGAGACATACCGCGTTGGATGTGGAAGAAGTATTCAAGAAAAGAAGTACGATTGAACGTTATAGTAAATGGCCTTTATTTCACCTGGCGGATAAAAATTAGCTTTTAGCACCAACATATTTTCTTTGTGTATCGACCGTCCTTTTTTCAGATATGTTTATATTTTCATTTATATTTTCATATTTATATTATTTGCTGCAGATACTATATGATGATATGTAACTACGGTCCTAGAGGTCTCAGAGTGACAAAGCCCTTAGGAAGGATAGGACGGCCTTGCACAAAGTGTCCAGAAACAATCTCATGCAACCAGGCTTATCCAGGGTTATGTGGAGAAATTGACGAAAGTCATTATTCCGTGACAGTTAGTGGTGGCGTCAATATAATTTGCAGTTCATTGAATCTACGGATTGTATTATTTTGCTTGGTGATAACCACAACATCGATGTAGAATTCAATATGAGACGATAGTTACGTTAACAAATAAAACATGTGATCATAAAATAGAGCAAATTTTAGGAGTAAGCTTCTTTTTCTACCATTACATGGACCTTACAGCAAGCTTTATAGTCTAACAAATATAGCAAAATCGATGGAGAAAATTGTAAAGGATCAAAATATTTGGTAAAAATGTGCCAAAAGAATACCGGTCACGCGAATCAGAAAAGTCTTGCATTTATTTTCATATTAACAATGCATTGGTATAATTTTTATAATCGAATGTCATATTTTGTCGCCCACTAGATAGATCCTTACCAAAGAAAAACACTGTTATAGCACACTCTAACGTTCTGATGATTATATTGTAGCAAATAGACACAAGAGTAGATGCACAAAGTAGCTTGCTCACAGATTACCTAAAAACAATTAATCATAATTAGTATGAAATTATCCGCAGCGACTCAATGCAAATACAGATCTGAGATACAAAGTCTCATTAAACATATTAACTAAAAACAATGATGTGAATAATATGCCACAAACTGCAGGCCTATACAGTAATTAAGGCTGGTGTCGTTCTCTCGTCTTGAAGACAAACTAGATTATTCCTTAGGTAACTGATTGCTCATCTGTACCCGTTGTGCAGCTGTTGTGTGACGTCACTTGCGGTATTACTATTGAGTCTAATACATGTTAATGTCAATTGATTCAGGCAGACATAAGATACTTCAAATCAACGGACTTTAAGACTTTCTATTTGTTGGCATTGTTGTTGTGTTGTCGTTGCACATCATGTGTGATGTTTTCATTGTTATTATCAAGTCAGTCTGAGCACTGTGAATGGAAGACGTGTAGTAGGTGATGCTAGCTAGTATATCCCAATTTTTTGGAATCGGTATTTATTTATACGTTTCTAGCCTCGTTAATTCTATGCACCTATCGACGTATTCAAATACCGCAGCTTACCCAGTACCCTTGAAATAGAATGATATAGAAATATTGACAATCCCCAGGTCTCGAGATATTTCTGCGTCGTGGTCTAAAGAATAGGTGATTCTTATGGGGGTCTTCCGGCAGTTTGGCCGTGGTTGGTGGGTGACGAGGTAAGTCATAGCAATCTTGCAAGATTTTCAGTACTCTTGTTAGGGAAGGCATTTGATCCGTTTAATTTTTTTGTTATACATGCTCGGAGTTAACTTTTTTCTCTGAGACATACTCCTTTATGAACTGGGTACAGCGTTGCGTGAGAAGTGCAAATTCAACTTACAAGACGCCACTTTTTTCTTTATATACTATGTCATTTAAAGAAATGTTCTACTTCTCTTGCAAAACTCAAATTGCTCCGATGAAAGCATGAAATAATAGTGGAAGCGTCGTTGATTTTTGATAAAACCCATCCTTAAACGCCTTGCATCAAAGTCCGAAGAAGCCGATCTCCACCCTTATTACGTAACTGCAAAACGACAGGGTTAGCGACCTAATCGCCATAATCGTCACTAGTTAGTACACATCAGTTACCTGTAGTATATGTGCGTGTTAGCCAAACTTGAGCTATGTGCTCTAGCTGTGATGTGACGGAGCAGCGTCCAGTCGTACCTTATATGACCTAAGCAGTAAGTATTATACTATAGCCGGAGGGAAACATCATAGTGCCCATTGGTGATTAATGTGCTGATCTTACATTGGCAAATAATATTACAACTAACAAAGAGGAAACAGGCTACAGATAAATTATTTGACGTACACTGAAGGGCATCTCAGTAAGAAGCTGAAAAATGAAGAGTATTTAATATATGGAAAGCCAGAAATATCGGCCGTTATTCATGCAAGATTACGTGTCATTTGGTTATAATCACAAGATGTAATGACAAACTGTTTCATATTAGTCTAGTCATAGACAAAAATACCCCTTGTTTACGAAATGATTGTAAGGTCTGGTTTTATTGATGCAAGTTATTCAAGGGGGTATTTAATACATCGACGCATAAAATCGGTACACCAATATTTGTGGGAAAACTTTTCTTTCGAAGTGTTTTCTGGAATTCAGTCGAAAGTGTTGCCAGGAACCAAAAAACTCTTTTAATAAGATTTTTAGGTATTTATGACACCTACAGAGTGAGTCTACACATAAAAAGATCCAACTAACAGAAAAAAAGTTATAGCAAAAAACCGAAGCAGGTTTTGGTACTTGTTGCTAATGCAACGATAATTTCACACAGCTATTTGAAAATTCTTCAAATCCGTAGGCTTCATACTTCTAAATAACCACAACAAAATTGTAGTCGACTGGTCAAGTAGTTCTTGAGAATTTCTAATTGTTTATCCCAAAACACCTGTCATCCGGCCATGCGGTGGTGTAGTGGTAAACGCTACGCTCTCCTAATCAGTCGCCGTGAGCTGCGCGGGTCGGAATCCAGTCCCAAGAGAAATCTTTCTTTTCACTATGGATGTTGTGATTGTCCGTAGGTGGTAGACGGTCTTTGACTGTCGGGCGCCTAGGTACCACCTGGCGGATCTCGTAGGCGGGGCCAGGATGTGTGCATGCTGCTTGCACACGTGTACCCTTGCTGGAGTCCGTGTGGCGCCCCCCTCTGTCCCCTGTATACCCCTATAGCCTCACGGCACTCCATGGGTGTTTAGGCCTCAGGCCTTCCTCGTAGCTGGAGTATAAAAAAAGAGCATCAACGTGAGACTCTTTAGGTCAATAGATAAACTTACTCAACAGCACAGTGCGTGGTGGAACGCCATAGATTTTACTTAAAAAACGGTTTTTCGGAAATTGTTAAATCTAAGAATGATCATGAAATGGTCTTGGCTTAGTGAGGATAAATCGCCGAACATGGAAGAAGACAACCATTGTCTCGTTGAATGACGTAGAAAATAACTCTGGAAACTAAGTCTAACAGTAAGTTAACTTACGCCAACTTGGTGGCCAGTTCATGTAGCACAAACAGTGTAACACCATCCAAGCATTCCTTGGAATTCGACGCAGATCTCCGAATAAATTGAAAACTCATAAATTCGCGCTATAGCATGAGAGTAGGACATAGGTAAGCAGTGTGACCTAAATTTCCCCACCACCTTCTCAGTGACAGTTTCTGTTTTTAAATGATGTCATTTAGCACACCACGTGCTGTGTTTGTTTGATGTTGGAATTACCTTTGCGGGCCAGTAAAGCGTCTATACAAATACAACAATCCATTCTAAAACGTTATACTTAACATCTCTTAGTACTGTTATGTCAATATACTTCAGACTATTTGGGAAGGTACTTACGGATTTTCTTGAAGAAAATTCTCCCCTCCCCCACGGCGGTATCATTAGGCTCTTTAGCATCAACCTCTAACTTTAAAATCGTGCTGTTAGAGTCCATACTCCTCGGCGATACTTTTAACACACTTCCTAAAAAAAATGTACCCGGCAGGCTCAACTCTACATCGTGAGTCATGAAGAAAGTCTTCGTAGCACTTGTAAGGGATCTAGAGACCTCTTGCAAAGGCATTTCGTACTTATCCTCATCATTGAGGTCAGGTGACGAAGAATTATCCGATGGTGTATATTCGTATGAGTTCCTAGGGAACTTGAGGAATGAAGTAAACTGCACATCTCCAGGGTTTTCTAACACAAACTTCAAGTAATCGTATACACTAGTTTTGATGCAAGAGTACGACGCATTCCTGCAGTTTTTCGCGAGATGCACCCACAGATCATTGTCGGCGGTGAGGATTTGAAAGTCTTTGTGTAGGGTAACGTTGTCAAGAGCCTCGACCCTAAAAACGACGTTACAGGATATAACTAGAACCAGATAGATGACGTTCATCGTTGGTACTTCCGATCACCTCATCGCGCGTTCGTATTCTCGATGGAATTCAGGGCATGTCGCGACCTACAGTGCGATCGCGGCCGTTGCACGGTGAAGAATACCACACCGGCTGGCAAGAATGGTTAGTGACACACTTCTTGGTCAGTCTCGGCCCCCTCTCCAGACGGCAAAGGTCTATTGGCTGTAGTTTTCGGCTGTTATCAATTACCCATTTGTCACCCATCCGTGTGTTATGCAGTTTAATTGATGACAAAACACAGGGCCGTACTGTACGGGAGGTAATGCTGATCTGGTAATGAGTGTATTTATCTACACCAACCTGACAAAGGTGTGTACATTTTATAACAGCAGGGCTCCCAATTTGACATTTGTTGAGATATGAACGAAAATGAAGCTTTTCCGCTTTACACCCAAAGCTTTTCTCACTAAAAACTTTTAATGTGCTGCCTGCCTGCGCGTTAGCATCATAACTAGGATAAAATGTTCGCGCTTCTTGAGAGGATCTTTCAGAAGTAGACAATGTGATAATAATAAAACAAGTAGAAAAATAATAAATTTGCGGTTTTATTGTGAAGAAACATAAGAACGATGCAAATCAAACCTGAAAATAATTAGGTAGGTACCTGATATCAATCATCAGAGCGTCCACTTCATCAACCTAGAGCCTCGATTTAATTTATAAATCAGTCGCGTATGCAGCAAGTCAAACACCGGGGAACCTCTTTGCTATAAGGATAAAAAAGACGTCTTATTTATCAGATTTTTGAACTGCCTAAGGATAGCAGAACTCGTCAGTCAAATTGTTCAAAAATGTCGACACCCTGGGAACCAGGAAGCTTCCTGAACATACGAAGTTCAACAGAGTTGGAATGTAAGGTTCCGGCGAGTATGCCTGGCAGGCTCGACGCGTTGCGGCATTACGAAGAGCTCTGAGCCAACTAAAATGAAATCGTGGGGCGGTTTCCTCGATTTTATACTCCTTTGACCAATGCCCTATTGATTTAAATGATATGAATGACTGGTATCTGGTACCTGCCTAATTAAGTTTAAGCTTTTAGTACATTGTCTGCAGCAGAATATCATTTATTAACAATAAAATCGTTCAACTCAATGAAATATGTATCTTATTTCTAAGTTTTTTAGTCACATAGTCCTTGACATAACAAAATATTGACTTGGGGACGGGATCCAGTCAACAAGGTTCTTTGTCCTTGTTGTACACCTGTCTGAACTCTATGAGTCGCCATTTTGTTTTGGATGCTCTTTCGGATCAGGCATTAGTTCCGAAGTAATCCAAAGTAATCGAATTAAATTTTGATCCGCCTACCACATGGTGGATTCCTGATAGATCGCATTAGATCCAAGACTAAAATTGGGCCGTAGGAGTTAAATATTTCTGCAAAAGGAGGCACTGGTCTTCTAAGAAACGCAACTCACGGAATATAAACTTCATATTCACATCACATGTAGTAAATGATCTAAAGCAGTCAGTGCTGTAAGGGCCAAAACAGTCATATATATGCCACTGCACTGGTCGATTCGAGCTATTAGGATCTTTATTCATACTGATTCGATATTTCTATCCACTTCGGGTTCTAGCGTATAGCAACTATATGAGCGTCATGTGTTGGTGGCAGTAATAACCGTCGACGTTGCGCTATCGCAAGCGCCATCTCACAGCAGCGGTAGGAACTGTCGAGACGACGCAAATACTGTACGCAAGTGCAACACGTAACGACATTTGTAGGCGACCAACAGAACTACGAGCCTAGGGCCTCGAGAACATCCATCCATCGAATAGCTCATTTTTCAAGAACGGGTATCAGGGATCGTAGTGAGTCACTATTTTCCGAATGTCAATTGACGTAGCAAACCGTGACTGATATAAACATATTATAACTTAATGATAAATTTCATAAATATTATTGCTGTTAAAGAGTAATACATGAGTTTGACGAGTGTTTTCTTTATATTATATTTTTTTCTCCATCTTATCACTGGAAATTATATCAGTCTGCATTTTGGTAAGGGATAATTTTAGGACTCCTGTTTATAGGAACCTTTTATGTTATATCTGTAATTTGTTCCTTTTCTTTTTTTCAAAAATAATTTCACCGCTGCCTAGTTATGTTTAGCCGCTACTCGCTACTTCCTATTCTTGAGAAGTCACGTACTAACCTGCTTTAACAATCGGTCAATTCGTACCAGTCACTTTGCGGTCCATCTGAAAACGTCGACATCTGTCGGCTATTATATATTCGCCTTTGTCTCAGTGACACTGGTTTTTGTGATTTCGCAGAACATATAAAACAAAACAATAGCAAGACATCAAAGAAATGATTCGACCTTTTTTTATGGATCGTTTCAACTTAACGCAACGGTAACAAATATTGGAATTTTGGAGAGTGTGGCGAATTCTGAGAAAGCGTGATATTGTCTTGTGGATTCCATCGCCTAGCTTAAGTAGCCCATATGATTTTTTGAAGAACGTGTCCTAATAATTTTTCGCATGAATTTGCCAATTGAGCTTGAAATATATAACAGCAAAATAAAACAATGTCCCTTTCATGTGATACAACCTGCCTCACTTGCATGGATTATAGAGAGGTTATGATCGAAATGTCCTCAGCTCTAAGAATATTAGTATTATAAAAAAATCAATTGAACTTGCTATCATTCAACTATTGTACTCATGACCTGTTTTTACTAACCAGTCGATATTCAGGAAGAGGTTCTCATAAACGACTCTTGAACAGGTCCAGGGGCTCCACAAATTTTTCGTTTCTGCTGTACTGAAATAGTACATAACTAATTTTGATAGCACTTGCGGCGCTAACATGTATTCTCTATAAAGTATGAATGAAAACGAGTAGTTTGAAATATTACTTCACAACACTGGCTATGAAAGTGTTGCATTAGAGTACGTTTATCCATAAGCTGCTTTCCTGGATATAGATGAAACCAAGGCAGAGTGAAAAACCTAATTTCATCTTCAACGTCCAAGCTATGAGTTGGTTATGGCGAAAGGGTACATCTTCACATCCTTCAATAAAAAATCGGCAATCACTTGCAGGACATTTTTCGTTTATCAATACCATAATTGTTGTATCATGGGTAGTCTGGCACGAAGCTATGCTATAGACACTTACTTCCTGCGATACTGGGAGAGGATTATTGTAATCCGTAAAATCTTTGATAAAATCTTCACACAAGGTTGTTACTATGCTAAGGACGAAAAAGTTTTATAGTTTTTATAAACCGGTCTAGTGGCGGCGAAGGAAAAGGCCAAAAACGAAAAAATTAAACCCACTTAAACTTTTTTTTGACGTTTCCGAGGATCCTGGTCATTTTAAAAAAAAAATTTTTGGAGTTGAAATTAGGGCGCTGTTGGCGGTGGGAGAGAGTTTTAAGAAAATTTTTTGACTTTAGTATATGAACATTCCCAACCCCAGTAATTGTATGTAAACCCCACTGTAGAGAACAGGCAAGCCGCCCTCGAGTACATTATATAACGAAGCGGTCCGCAATGCCAAGGGTTCCTTTCTAAAAAAGATCTAAGACCGAACCTTATAACTTAAGGCCTATAGCTCTGCTTTCTGATATAAGTAAGGTGATGGAGAGGTGCATAAGTCGGGAGCTTCTGGAGCACCTCGAACGTCACGGCTTGATTAGCGACAGGTAATATACTTCCTACCTTTTGTTACGCAATTGTTGGTAAACTCATCCAGTTAGTTACATAGTTTAGTGAAATATGCCTTAATATCAAGAAGCTTCTGATCCCGTCCGTAATACGTGCGCGTTAGGCAACTATTACTATTATTTTGAACAGGTTGATATTTTGGGCTTTACGATATATCGTACCTAAGTGAATATATCTAGTTATTCTTCCACTCCACTGAAGTAGACGGGCAACACTTTTTTTTTTGTTTTACATGCGCGTAGTTTACTGGTGGTTTAAGATGGGATAATCTGTCTTACCACTGTTTCATTACAACATATTACTATCCGGTATTTTATTTTTTACGAGTATACCGAAGGAGCCGCTTAGTCAGAAGCACAGTAGTAGTAAAAAATACAAGCTAAAGAGCGGCAATATAACCCGAGCTGATCACCTGTCTGCCAAAAGCAGCGAAACAGGGTCTGACTCTGTTTTCAGAGCTGTTAGCTACGTTGGACCAAACAAAGACAGAGCAAGGGTCTTTGAAATATGGTAACGTCAGCGCAAAAGCTACGAGGTCCTCTAGTCTTATGGATCTGAAGTTACTGCTCGGATTATAATACAATTTTGATATAAATCTACTCATATGCCATTGATGGAATATATTAAATGCTTCGACCGATAAAGGCGCAGAAAGAACTAAAAAGGAAAAATATGAAAACGTCAACAAATTTAATTTCTTGAATGTTTTTGGAATTGCTGATAATTTTTTGACGTAGAACAAAGGTTTACGAGGGTCAACACCTGAATATTTGTTATTTTATGTTTTTCTCCTCTTTGCTTATTTCGAGCCATAGTAGGAATACATGTTGCCCGGAAATTTTAGGACCAGTCAGAGCCGCATCTCATCAATTTGAGTGTAAGTAAAGTATACATGCTAATGTGAGGGAAATACTGTGGCTACTTACTTGGTATTCCACTTATTCCTATTCAGTTCTCATATAATTTTCGGAAAAAATTAAAATTACCTTTCAAATAAGCTATCGGACTATTAAAATATAGCATTGATAGTTTTTATGAAGTTTTTATCATACTTAACATTGATACAATTCAGACCGAATGACGATATGATTACATAGTAGTACATCTTAATGTACAAATACATTATATGTACTCTGCCTTGTGCGTTGTGCAAGTTACTTTACTCCCACCAGTAGCAAGTCTACCCTTTAACTGAATTGTTTCCAACACGCCATTTCTGACAGTCACCCATGACTTTGTTCTGCTACGAGCTGCCCTGGTCTACTACATAAATGATCGTTTGGGAAATTCATAGTTGGTAAAACCGATGTACAACATTAAAGCCTGTAACCCAACTACCGTGTTTCAGAACACATGCACTTATATGGAAGTTCTTACAGAGGGGC